ACATTAAAAATACTGCTTGCTTCTCATGTGAAATAATGGATTACTTTCAGTTCCTTTTACTGATGTGGAGATAATAGTGGATTTGGTTATAGTAGATGTGTTCCCTCCCCTCTTTCCAGACTAATGTCAGATTGGGCCTAATATTCGCTGCTTCACTGCTTCACTGGAACATTTATTCTCTCTGTGCTCCAAATATGCCTCCAGAATTCAGAATCCTGACACAGAAGGCATGGGTAACTAAGCACATTCAAGAAAAGCTTGAAGAAGATGAATTATCTGTCGACATATGTGACAGAATATTTTTAAGATTCTGTGAAATCAATTATTTAAACCATAATGGGCTCAGTTCAGTGTTCTCCCTTCCAAGATAACTAATTATGAAAGCATATGTTTAGGGTTTTTTTAAAAAGTCAGATTCTGTGACCACAGCTCTATTCTAGCTAGATGTTATGGATTCCAAAACCATCTTTGAACATGTGATGCTTTGTCACCCTTGCTTACAGAGTTTTGCAATTTGTGTGGTATTATGAGTCTGCTGAGATGTTTGCCTTTCAGTGGTGTTGACACCCCTTTGAGAACAATAGCATTTTTGAATGGAAAAATGCTAGGCTTAGCTTGGCATCTTCTGATAAACTAGAAGTGAAAAATATAACTCCAGGTTTCTTTCTATGCTGCTCCTCTCACACAGAAGGACCCCTTATTCTTTAAAACAAAATTGTCATTCCTTCAAGTCTGCCTTTTAAATAATCTTGTGTTACAATGTCTGCAAAACCTCTTCAGAACAGTTAGACACCTGGTAAACTAACACTAAGTTCATATGTTTATCATATTGACCAAAGTCTCTTTCTTTTTTCTTTGTGCTGCCTTCATATGTTCTTCTTTAATTTAGACTGCATCATAGAAAAAAGTCAGTTATGCTTCTGAGGGCTATTAGTGGAGTCCTGGAATGTAATTTCTTTAACCAGGATACCTGGGATTTCCTGAAAATGTCAATACCGATGTATAGTGCCAGTAAAAAAAGAAAGATCTAAGATGTTACCAGTTACTTCACTCGTTCCAGGAATACACAAAGGATACCGAGCAAGCACAGAGGACTTCCTTTTATCAATCTTAAGCTGCTACTGCTAGATCTAGAAATCACTAATAGTTTTTGTTCTACTTTATTGCTCACAGGAGAACAATAGCTGGATTTGAAGAACTAATAGGGTTAGAAGTTGATGTATCATATCATTTAAAACTCATCATCTCCAGCTTTTATATGTGTACATAATTTGATTTTAACTGTAGCTGTTTCCTGAGGTGATGATTAAGACATAGCTGAAATTGAAATGGATACAGAATAAGAAGAAAACAATACCACTTTACCATTTAACATAATATTAATGCAAAATGCTGCACAGAAAAGTTATTCTAGTCTGCTGTGGGCTCCATGTTTTAGGCCACTATCAGGCTTTTATCATTTTACAACTTGAAGTCTAGGTTTTAGCATGAAGGTGAACTGTGTACCGGGTTTGTTTTTACCTTTCTTATTATTATAAATGCAAATACTAGGTTGTGTCACAGCACTGACAAACCCATGAGCATATTCAAATACAACTAAACAAATGATGGAAGATGTTAAAGGATGTTAAAACATGACTTTTTTAATAGTCACTTCCCAATGTAATAATACATTGTAGTATTTTGCATGCCATTTGTGCTATAAAAGCCTGGCTAAATAACAGTAGGTTGGGGCTTAATAAAGTGGTGAGCAGATTTATCCACGTTTAGAAGCTAGCCTGCAATCAAAGGTTGGATTTTTCTTTTGTTTTAATTGCTGAATGTGACATATAAACATAGCTTCTACAAATGTTTGCACCTGTCACCAAGAAATCTATATATTATGATTCCTGAATTATTTACCTGCTCTGGTCTTTGATTTTTAGGGTATATTACAGGTAAAATTGCAGGCTTCCTAATCATAGAATCATAGAATCACAGAATCATTAGGTTGGAAAAGACCTCTAATATCATGAAGTCCAATCATCAATGCAACACCACCATGCCACTAAAGCACGTCCTGAAGTGCCACATCTGCACACTTTTTGAACACCTTCAGGGATGGTGACTCTACCACTTCCCTGGGCAGCCTGGTCCAGTGCTTGACAACATTTTTGGTGAACAAATCTTTCCTAATGTCCAATCTAAACCTCCCTGGTGCAACTTGAGGCCATTTCTTCTCGTCCTATTGCTTGTTACTTGGAAGGTGAGACTGACCCCCACCTCACTACAACCTCCTTTCAGGTAGTTGTAGAGAGCGATAAGGTCTCCCCTCAGCCTCCTCTTCTCCAGCTAAACAACCCCAATTCCCTCAGCCGCTTTTTATAAGACCTGTGCTTCAGACCCTTCACCAGCTTTGTTGCCCTTCTCTGGACACGCTCCAGCACCTCAATGTCTTTCTTGTAGTGAGGGGCCCAAAACCGCACACAGTGTTCGAGGTGTGGCCTCACCAGTGCCGAGTACAGGGGCCTGATCACTTCTCTCCTCCTGCTGGCCACACTACTGCTGATACAGGCCAGGATGCCACTGGCCTTCTTGGCCACCTGGGCACACTGATGGCTCCTGTTCAGCTTTGTTGACCAGCACCCCTAGGTTCTTTTCTGCCGGGCAGCTTTCCAGCCACTCTTCTCCCAGCCTGTGGCATCACATGGGGCTGTTGTGACCCAAGTGCAGGATCTGGCACTTGGCCTTGTTGAACCTCATAGAACTGGCCTCAGCCCATCGATCCAGCCTATCCAGGTCCCTCTGCAGAGCCTTCCTACCCTTGAGTAGGTCAACACTCCCACTCAATTTAGCATTGCTGCAAAGTTACTGAGGGAGCCCTCAATCCCCTCATCTAGAGCATTGATAAAGATATTAAACAAGACTGTCCCCAAAACTGAGCCCTGGGGGACACCACCTGTGACTGGCCACCAGCTGGATTTAACTCCATTCACCACAACTCTCTCTGCTCAGACATCCAGTCAGTTTTTTACCTCAAGACTATCTTATGTTCATTTTAAACAGCTTAATTCTCTCATTAACTGGGCCATCAACATGCATTTCTCAGCTGGATAAGAGAGATGGCTTTTAAGATACAGAGGCAAACATAGTGTGCTCTAGTCTGACTGAATGCTGTGCCACTGTGGGAGCGTATTTTATTAATAGAGCACTGAACTCTAAAGCTCAACATTTGAAGACTTTAGTAGATGCACCTCTCAAGCACTGTAGCATTATTCTTAATTCTGGGTGCAGCTTCATAGTAGCCCCTGGCTGATCTAAACTTCACAGTGAAATTGAAAGAGATGATCCTGCCCTGTCTTTGTCTTTGTCTTTGGCCATGCATTCCCACTGTCTCCTGTGATTTAGTAATCCAGCTCAGGAATAATTTCCTTTTGTGTTCAAGGGAAGCAGCAGGGCAAAGCACCGGGAATGAGTGTGAGAGGCAGAAGGATGCCTTTTAGTATCACAATGAAGGCCAGTGGGTGAACAAACAAGACAAGATTCCAACTTAAGTGTATGTAAATATTATGACACAGGAACAGACTGGGAGATTGTTAGAAGTAAGTTCTAGTTTTATACTTTCTTAAAATCATCATTACAGAGTCCTTGAACATAATATTAAAGTTTTGTCTTGTTGCCCTTGCTTTCTGTACTTTTGTGCAGTGAAAGTCAAGACAAATTAAAATGCAATGTTAAGAAAACTCGTCTCCTAAAATATTCTGGTTAGGTAGCTGTTTAGATGGGATAGGAGGGCCTGCATTCCAAGTCTTAGCCTCCAGCCATCACAGACAAATGTGCAATCTACCCTTTTCAAAAATTCCAAGCTCCATTTTCAACTGAGGAATACCTAACTTTCTGTAACTGCCTCTATTCAGAAGACTCTTCCAGAACATCACTGCTCTAATTTTTGCTCTAATATTTGTTCTCCTGATATTTTTATAGATAGCAATGATATTCCTGTTAATTGTAATTTTGCTAGGTTATACAAAATACACTTTTTAGCCTCTGTGTTATAGGTTTAGTCTCTATGTGATAGGTTTCCCCCACCCTTTTTCCATATTCAACTAATATTTGCCAAACATAGCTCATATCAACCATACATTCCAGTACAACACAAGGTTTTATTATTGTCAGTTTCAGAGAAGTTAATGCTTTGTTACCCGCAGAACAGATATTTCAACTAACACAGGTACCTAGGGCAAGTATTGCTGCATGATTGCCCTATTCCTGTACTCTACCACAAGTGTTTATTGCTGGTCACTATCAATGAGGGGATAGTGGGTTAGGCAGACCTTTGCTCTGGCCTACCATAGCCATTCTTTTCTTAGGAAATTTATCCAGATTTTTAACTTCCTCTGCTATTTCTGTGAGAATTTTCAGTGTGTAACAAACTTTTATTAGTTTCTATGTAATTGACCTTCTCTCCTATTCAGACATTTCACCCTGGTTTTATTACTACAGTAAAATCCTCCAGTTCTTCCTGTAGGAAATACTAACCACATTCTGTTTTATAGGGCCTCCCTGCTTTATGTCATCAATAAATTTCTCCAGACTACTTTTTGTGACAAGGTAATCAATGTAAATAAGATCTCCTCCAAGGCTGAACTTCAGAATTTTCACGGATAACTTTCCTACAGCCCTATTGCTTTCCCTTTAAGTCTTGTGTCTAGAAAATCAATAGAACTATCTGATATTTATTTTGATACCTGTCACAGTTTTCCCTTCTGTAAACTGCTAGAATTCAACTTGAATTGCATTATTTCCCATGTCTAGGTCTTTTTTACTGTCTTGCCTTTTTTTCTTCCTGTTAAATACAGACATAAGAATCGATATGTTTGCTACTGCAATTTTTAACACATTTTTAAGCAAGATGCTCATACTAAAGACTTGGAGATAGGCAGCATCAATGTCACTCCAGGGCACCACCCTGTCACGCAGAATATACAAACAAGACTGCTGCCATACTCCAGTCAATTTCTGCAGCACAAAATACAACCACTGCAATAGAAAGTCTCTTAAAATTATTGGGTAACAGGGAAGAAATGGATGTAAGAGTGCTATTTCTGCAGTCTGCTTTGAGAGAAAGAAAGAAGAGTAAATCTTCGGGGAAACGTGGTCAGAGAGAAATAAACAGAAAGTATCAAGTTAGGCCAGTGTGATTGCTTAAGATGGAAAGGATGGCCAAAGTGTAATAGGAAGGGATGGGAGCCCTGTTGATACTGTAAGGAGTCATGTGTACAACCTGGCTAAGACAGTCACCACAGTGACTTGGAAAGGTGCCTTACAGTAGTTCAACATACTGTTTCTCCTGTTTTATTATATAAATAACATGATACTTGAATCAAAGCCAGACTAAGCCCTTGATGGATTCCTGTCAGGAAGTATAACTTTTCAGAGTAAGGCTTCCAGCAATTAAAAGCAATAACTTTGTTTCCTATCATTGAAGACAGAAGCCATTATTTCAAATCTTAAGATACTAACTCAACTTTAACCCTCTTAACTAACTTAAATAAGACAACTGATCTTATTCAACTAGGGAAAAAAATTAATGAGAGAACAATCTCTTGGGAAAAAAAATGATACTTTGTGACAATGACTTTTGCTTTTCTGCAGTATGTGAAGGTATTGCCTCTTCTACGGACATGAAATTCCTTTACAGGTATAAACCTCATTATTAAAACATTTAATCAGGTAAGAAACATTAGGAAAATGCAGTCTACAGTCATTCCACTTTACTTTTCTGTAGTATATACAATAGCTGTACAAGTAAAAAAATACAACAGCTGTGTAAGTTTGAAAAGTATCAAAGCAACTGCCTTTGCCTGTTTCAGACACAGAGGTCTTTTGCATAGTAAGTGCAGTTACTTTTCTGCTGCTTACCTATAATGTATAGTATCATGTATAGTCTCTATTTTATCTATTTTATAATGTATAATAACATGAAGAGACTGTAAGTTTCTGAAACTCAAGTGAATTATTCTGTGCATTCATTGCTAAAGCACAGGAATTTGAACAGCCAACAGAGACTGAGATTGACTCAGTGTCCCTACTAAGCCCATCCTTTCATCAACTTCTGCTTGTCTTTCAATGTTTCATACATTGCTACTAATAAGTGAATATTTTCTTGATTTTTGGATTCAGCAATAGCATGGCTAACACCCATCTTTTGCAGGAAATTCTGACTGTCAGTGTAAATCAGCTATACATAATTAAATGAGTATGCATTTAAATTTGTTTCTTTGAAATCCAGATGAGTAGGTAGTTTGTTCATTTATTCTGGGCTAAAGAGTAACCATTAATATTGAAAACCATAACTGTGGATGACAGTAAATTTGACAAAATTATCTGGAAACTTGGAGGATTAATGAAAGAGCTTGTTCATTCTAGGCGGGTGTAAATAAAAGGCTGTTCAATCCCTATTACTTAGAGGGAGCAAAGCTCTCTTTCCAGAGCTCTGCTGAGGAGTCTTAATTCTCTTGATGGTATAAAATAGCAATTAATTTATTTAAATGTGTGATTGACACATTTCCTCAGGATTTGTCATCCTTTCCCTTTAATTCTTAAATTTCATACTTCTGTATAACTATTTACCGGCTATTTAATGAATGATCTTGATACTCTTCCAACATCAGGGTGAGTAAGGGGTTCCAGCAATGTGAAGTCCTGCACAAGTCATAGCCTTGCAACAGAAGCACCCTGTGATCCCATCCACATCTCCCTTTTTAGATAATTTACAAGAAAAGATTATAACTGCTTATCAGCCATTATCCACAAAGAAACTTAACAGTCACATAGGAGACAAGATACATTGCATCCTTCTTCAAGCAAAATAACAATTGCTTGCTGCAAAGTTAATTGGAGAAATTTATTTTGTTAGCACCAGTAAATCATATATTTCGACCATAATTACTTATGGAATGGGCATTTCAAAGTGATTTTTAGCTATTTTTAGGGCTATTCATTTCATTTTAACAGCTGTGTAATTTTTCAGTTGTCTAAATAAAATTTCATTTAGTGGCTGCACGAAATTGCTTAGAGAAATGTATTTATTAGAATTGGAGACACAAATACAGCCAATCTTAAATGAAAAAGACCTACCAAGACATTTGCACTCAATGTTCTGCATTATAAATGGTGTATGGTGGTAGCATATGCTCTATTGACTATACTTTTGGCTCTGCAGTCTTTGTTTTCTTTCTCCTCAAGTTAATTCTATTTTTGCAAAACTCCCAACAAAATCAAACAGGATTTCTCAGCTTTTCTTCTGACATAGTATGTGACCTTGGACAAGCTATAATTATTTGATATTTCACTTTCCCCATTCACAACAGACATGCAATACTCATAAAACCTGAAGTTATTGGATTGATGCAAGAATTACTATATGAATATATATGGCCTGTGCTATACAAGAGATAAAACAGATTACCATAATTGTGGCTACTAGAACTAAAATGATATTAATCTTTGGATGTACCTCACAGAGGAATTGTGAAGCTGATCTAATGTTTACAGTGCTTTGGGGTATTTGAATGAAAAATACTATCTATATATATTATTTATAGTTCCTTTTTACATAAAATTGTGTTTATATTATTTATTTTTTAATTGGGCTATAAACTCTTCCAAAATCACAGACTAGTAAGGCTTGGAATCAGCTATAGCACTGATGGGCCATATGAATAAGGATATGCCACAAATGAGGCCACAACCTCTTTCCTGCTGCATAGCAAGTCCATTTCACAGCCCTCAGAATAAATTGCTTTCTTGGTTTAAGCTTGTGTAACTGAAACTTGTGAAACTGAAATTGTAAAGGAAACTTAGTTGAATGTATTTTTGTGTGGATATAAATTTTAAATGAATGGATATATGATAGACATGTTACAGAG